GTGTGTGTGTGTGTGTGTGTGTGTGTGTATGTATGTATGTATATATGTATATATATATATACACACACATACATACACACACACACACACCACACAACAATGGGGCTAAAACTATAATAGGGAAAGTTTTCCTTTGTATATTGGTATCTGATTGTAATGATTTTTGCCAATTTAAGAAAACAAAAATCAATCAATATTGTAGCTAATTTCTTCAGAATTTCTCATGTGTAGAGTAAAAGGGGACTTTTAGATTTATGAAAGCAACACAAGGACCACCTTTTAGAAAGTTATAGTATGGCTAGATTATGTAACATTCTGTACTGGTCCATAGTTGAATAATCAGGTCTAAACCTTACATTCTCTGGGGCTAATACACTTTTGGGAAGTATCCAGTCAAGAAGTATATTAATACAAAACGTAGACATATAATTGACTATTTATGATTACTGTAAGAAACAGGGCAGCAATTTGTTGAATCAGCCTTGTCCCCTTTTCTGTAAAATCAGAAGAATGATAGAATTAAACCACTCTCTTAGTATCAGGAAAGTGTTATTTATGGCAATGAAGTGAAGGGCTGGCACAGACATAGGTCATGCAAACCTGGATTTTTAGGAATTTGGGTGTAACTGGGTTTACTATTTTTACTTCTTTCTGATTGTCTGTAACTTCTGGGAGCCATTTACAAAGGGGATCGGGAAGGATTTCCACCTAAAGCTATATTTAATAAACAGCAGAAATGTACATAACAAGAATCACCAAAGGTTAAATTATTGTTGTTAGCTGAGGTACATTAAGTTGAAGATTGGGAGATGAGATGTGAGAACAGGCAGTCATCTTCAGTTGTGATCTGTCGTATATACTGCAGAATAATATGAAGTTTGCAAGCCAGAAGTTACAATAATTGAACTGACATCAGCAATTGAATTATTTACTTTATATTTCTCCTCTTCAAACAGTCTTAAAGTGGCTAATGATAATAAAATACATCAAGTAAAATTAAATCAGAATTACAATTAAAATAGACAAAAAGCAATTAAAATATAATTAAAACTTATCAGTAAAAATAAACAAATATGAACCAAACTAGCCAATGAATCTGCTTAAACACAAATAGCTTTCATTAATAAAAAAAAATTAGCATCACTTCTTGAGGGAAAGAGTGCTAGCCTCATCTTCGAAGTAATAAGAGTCTCCAGACCTGGAGGCATTATTGATAATGTTCTTTCTTCATCTCCCTTAATATGCATTTGATAATTGTAAGATGAAAAGCTTAAAAACCAGAGAGAATAATGTGTGAGAAATCTTACTCGGAAGACGGTCGTATTTGGAACTGGATATTGAACGCAAATAATTGCAAATCAATTTTTGATTATTTACATTTATTCATATAATAGAGAAACAGATGTTCTGTGTCCAGAAAAATAATAATTCAGGACAGAACAAATTCTCACAGGACTCATCAAACAACCTCCCCCAAGATCTGGGAGAGTAGCCAGGTTTTCAGTGCCTTTTAGAATATCTTATTTAGCAAGAGATTTATATGCTCCCTAAAAATGTTGCCAGTCAGTACTTCCGTTGCAACATTTTGGGCCACCTGAAGTTTATAAAGGCTGAACATTAAGCTACAATTGTTTAAATGGAAAATAAATGTGTAGTTCAGAGTAATGGTGCTTGTAACATATTTCTTGGTGCTTGAAAAGCTCTATTAATCTATCTGATTTTATTTTTAAATTTGCAAAATAGTAGCCTCAAGTCATAGCCTAATTTCCATAATCCTCAAAAGAAAATGAAAAGGGTTGCTGTACTCAACCACTTTTTGGTTTTGAGTTTATAAATGTTTTGTGATGGGCCATACCCACCATACTCACTATTTTTTCAGATGTGCCCACTGAACCCCAGACGTTGAGAATCTAAAGAGAAGTAAAATGTTTGTTCTAGTGACAGGATTGGTTCTCCAGTAATTAGTTTAGTTGTACCACTAATGTCAATTATGTTCATGCCCTCAAAAGTTTTAGAAACAGCCTGTAGTTTGTTGACGCTGTAATTTCCAACATGAAACATGATCTTTGAACAGTTTCTTTGTATTTTGTTGGAAAGGCTGATGGAGTTAATCATTATTATACTAATGAAATCAGTAAAGCCCCAACGCCAGGTGGAAGCAACTAAAACGCTAAAAGAAATTATAATCCAATGACAATAATCTCTCTCAGCATTTCCATTTTGAATTTACCTCTAGAAAAGATTGGAGCCTCCATAAAAGATTTCCTCTGGATCCCATCCCAACAGAATATCACTAATCATAATCATATCAGATACTCATGAATTTGTTTCATTTTTCTGCAATCTAGAAATTATACACTTATGTGCAAAATTAAATAGCTGAACATATGGTATGGGCTTGTGATCAAGCCTACATGGTAACAAGAAGAGAAACAAAGCTTCTCTCCACTTTTTATTGAACCTGTGGATTTCCACCTGGTAGTCCTGTTCTGAGTGATTTGAACCATTTTAGGGAATGATAAATGGGGCCAAATGTCTTCCAACCTGTTGCATGAATTTGCAAGTTTCTTTACAAGTGGAATTGCTCATATCATTTTCATCTGGATATCAGTTGGGTAAATTTTATTATGGTGACCAGAACATCATCTGGTGCTACAATCTGAGCTTCTCTTGAGCTTGTGAAATTGAATAGGAAGGAACTGAATAGGGTTTTCTTTAATTATATGGACTCGGTCAACTGCAGGATAATGAAAATAATAGGGGCATTTGCCACCAAAATTTTCACTCTGGATGTCTATAAGTAAACAACTTGGGGCTACATTGATAATCCATTGGCAAAGAACTTTTTTACACATCACTAGCAAATAAAGAAGTTGTCTTCTGTTGTTTCATTATCAAATATACTATTTAAATACAATTTTAATTGTTTTAAGCAATTAAAAGAGAGCCTTTAAGACAGCCTAAAATGTATACGTGCCCTTGATATGGATAATATATGTGCTTTCCATAACTTTTTAGAAATACTACTACTAACGTGATGCAAAACCGCTACCTATACAATTTTCTACTTCAGTTTTATTTCTGTGTTCTTTCAGTGGCCTAACTGAAGTATTTCTGTCATTTTTGGAATAAGTTAAGATATGTGTAAGTCTTCTGTCTGAATGCTCTGTTCTTACGCTTGTTCTCTCCCTTATTTCCATGCTGTGAAGCTATTAACTATTTTTAATTATATTTTCTTTAGATTCTTAGTTCTGAATGTAATATCTGTAGCTTTTTTGTTGAAAACCTATGGGGAAAGATACTTAAATAAAGATTAGTATCATTTTTTTTAAATCTGCAAATCCAACTCTTAAACTCTCTACAGTACTTTCTAAGGTAAAGAATAATTATCCGTTTGCAATTTTTTTAAAGTAGTTAGCTTCTTCAACATTCTATTATATATTTTTGTTCATTCTATATAGAAGATATTATCTTCTGCTTCTGTAAAGGTATTTTGCATTCATAAATAATTTGCTCATCTCTTTTTGTCTCTTTTTGTCTCTCATTGTCCATACTGTGGCATTTAGTTCAACTTACTTCTGTTTCTCTTTCAGCTTACTATGACCCTAAAGTGGAACTTATCTCCAACAGATACTTTGTTTCTTCTCATTTCCCTTGAACCAGAATTTTTGGTTTCTTGAAGTTTATTCCCATTAAAAACATTTTTAACAAGGCTTAAAAAAAATAACCTAAATAAAGATTACATCTATTTTTTTCTTTAAGCAACTTACTATACTCTTGGAATCTTGGGGATTATATTAAAATGAATCTCTAATAAAATCCACTCATTTATTGTGTTATTCATGACTGGTATGTAACTTAGCATGTCTCAAAAAGTATTTTCCGTTCATATCATTGCTTAAATAGCATTTTTTTTCTTAGTTTTTCCTCAGTCTTGATATTTTGTTTTTATGGAGCACCAACTTGATGCATCCTTTGTGAGACAAAGATATGACAAGTTGATATTTTTTCCCAGGTAACACACAACTTTTTTTATCAGTTGGCTTCTTGTAATACAGGATAGTGGTTTTTCTAAATTCCTATTTTGAAATGGGATATTTTTATACAGTTAATATGTAGTACTAAGACATATGATCTGTATCTTGGAATCATTGAGTTAGGAGGGAACATTTCAGCTGTTAAGTCTAACCTCATGTTCAGCAATCCAAATCCCTGATATGTAGCTGTCGTGTCTCTTGCTAAATCTTTATTTCTGCAAAGGAGAATTCGGGAAAGTGGCAATTTTCTTATGGTGATCTAGTTTTTTCTGATAAGATTAGGACTTTGAAGTTCCATCACCATTTAATAATTAAATTCAGTATGTAATCTTGGACCCGTCAGATGTTTTCATTCCAATGTGAGTCCATCAAAATGTTGAGAGGGTGAAATGGAGGGCAATGTAGATTTTATTTTGGAATATGAATGGGATAAAAAAAACCTCTCAACATGTTGTACACTATGATTAACAAGAATTCAGTAAATAATATGGCATCATGCACAACTTAACTATATTCAAACTACATGCAGGCTGTTGTAAAATCTCCATAGGCAAGTTGATACAGGATTTCATATTAACTCACAAGTATGATGAGGGTGAGCTAATTCAGCAAAGTGCTTCTAAAATCCATTTTAAGGATTTTCTTAGTTAACATATTGTTGGTACAGGCAGATTTGTTATTATAAACATTTTTAATATATAATGTTTAAGTTCTTTTCACAGTGGTCATGTACTATGTATAAGCTGATTTATTCTTAAACTATTAGGTCTGAGTGAAATTGAAAGGCACATACACAAATTTCAAAGAGGCAGTTTGCATTCTATTTCCTAGAAAGGTATGACATACTTTCAGAGACAATATAGGGAAAAAAATCTTATTGCAGCACCGTGTGCATGTTATATTGTTATCAGAGAAGCTTTTATTTAATCGCAACTACATTTATTTCCCTAAACAGGATTCCAAGAATCTGAAAGTAAAATTTTCATTAGAAATTTTAAAAATAAAAATTCTGATTTAATTTCCATGTCTCCAGGGGTTGTAGAAGGTGATCTAGCTGCTATTGAAGCTTATAAATCATCAGGAGGAGATATTGCACGACAACTTACTGCAGATGAAGTACGCTTGTTAAATCGGCCTTCGGCTTTTGATGTGGGATACACGCTAGTTCACCTTGCAATACGTTTTCAGAGACAAGATATGTTAGCAGTTCTGCTTACAGAGGTGAGTTTTCATGATTGCTCATTAGTTCGCTCAACAGACTAAATGAATCTGGTTGCCAGTAATAGTTAAAACTTCAGAGTGAGCTGCTTAAAAAATTAGACCAACAACACAGTTTTCTTTGATTTGTGTAAATCTGATCATTCAGGTAAGGTCTTTGGCACAATTTTTCATTTAATGTAATATAGTTAATTTTCTCAGTCAGAAAAAGTGTTGATCTTTCATGACTAATTATGGAGTTAATGGGAACTCTCATGCACTCTAGGGAAGTTCAAATTCCCTCCTCTTGCATTGAAACAACTCTGGGAGACTTACAGCACTAAAACATTAAACTCTGAAATGATAAATATTTCTAAAGCAATAAAAATGAAAATAGCAATAGCAATAGCAGTTAGACTTATATACCGCTTCATAGGGCTTTCAGCCCTCTCTAAGCGGTTTACAGAGTCAGCATATTGCCCCCAACA